CATGAGCTACAACAGGATACAAGTATTGCATACCCTCCAGCCAGCTCTGGTTCTGCCCGTCCAATTAAATGTGCAATGTAGTCTGTATCACACAGTACATGGACATGCCGGTCTTGAGGACAGCTTTTAAGACCATCATACAAAGTAGCACAGTAACTAGATGAGTCAGAAAGAAACATTGCTTGTTAATCTATGAGATGTTTTAAAAAAACACAGAACATATCAATCTACTTATCAGGTTTTCAATAGCCTGCAGAGCAGGTGTAGTTTTGGTAAGCAAGTACTCTGTATTTTCTAGGTGAAAATTAAGCTGCTGTCTTTGATTTTTACAGCAGTGGAAAGGCTGGGGAGAGAAAACAAATTGTACCAAGGGGGTGAGCAACAGTCAAAAGAAAGGAGATGCCCCCCTTCTGTCCACTCTAGTGCTATACCAAACATGGACAGAGGAATAACTGATTGCAAACTTGTAATGTTGACCCCTATTAAGACAACTGCATCACAGGCTAGTTTTTCATGAAAGGAAACTTGAGAATCCTATAGAAATCCTCTAGCAAGGCCAAAAAATGATCCAAACTTCTGACACAACAGGTCTAAAATCAAACTGAGCTCACAGCTAAGTAAAATTAAGCACCCTCACCAGGTATATTGTTGTCTTTACATAACTTCATACCTACCCCTTTTCACTTGGTCCATCCAAATCTCCTGCCAGAATACTGTATGCCCTCAAAACTTTTGATTTACATTCAGTACAAAATCTACAACAACAACAACAAATAAGTTACACTGAGCTAAGTAATTATGATGAACTACAAGTGAACAGCTTTTGTCTGAACAGTGCACATGTGTCTCCTGGTTGAAAGCAGAACATCATTACCATACTATACACATAAAATATTTCAGTTATAGGAGTTACATGGTAAAATAAAACATGCACATGTACATGTACTCCCTAGTGTCACCAAAAAGAAATTTCTCCTTATAATATTAACACACATTCAAATAAAAAGGTGATGAGAAAGAAAGGAGAACATAAACTTGGATATATTGTTTTATTTGACAAAAAATTATCAAAGCCAAATCCATAATAAATGTATGAAGTACAAAGTAGAGTATTGATCTTTTTATCTTGAGAGTGAAAGGGTTCAGGGCAGTGGATAAAGTAACTCATGATCTGTAGGAAAAATCTACAAATGTCAGAAAGATCATCTAAGTACACTTACCTATGTTTTCTGAGGTAATTTTCCAATGTGTCAA